GTGTACCCGTCTCTCTGCCCTCTGTTTTGCCGTCTATGCCGACACAGTGGCCAGGTTTTGGGGTAAAGGTGGACAGTTTGGTTGGAGGTGGACAGAGGAGGAATTATACCCCGAGAGGCTGCGCTGTGCTGAAAGCAGCACCCTTGTCTTGGTGCCAGAGCGGGTGTCACAGGGCAGTGCAAGGGCAGCATGGCACACAGAGTTCACCAGCAGACATTGTTCACATCAGGGAAACGCTGTGTCAGCCTCCAAACAAATGACTCCCTCTGTCTGAGGTTTCGCTGTTTGTCCATGTCTAACTTTCTTTTTCAGTGTTTCTTCTCAGTGATGCTAATGTGATTCATCATATCCCAGAATGCCCCCTGTCTCTCTCTCTGTCTGCCATAAGAGAACACAATCAACATTCTTTGTGTCATTTAATACCTCACGCTGGCTTAGGTTTGCTTTGATTTTCACTGTTTACACTGTTACATGCTAAATTGTGATGTAATGTGTTGAATATCTGACACAAGTTTAGCTGTTCGTGGATCTGATAAGTGTGTAACTGCAAAATCAGGTCTCTGCATCCTGGCTGGCAGGTGCATCGTAGAGGTTCAACAAAGCGAGGAAAAGAGGTGTTGGTATTGTTGTGTAAAGAGGATTCAGTGTTTCCAGTGTGTCTCTGCTCCGTCAGTGTCGTAACCTCAGTTTAACTGCTCCCCCCCTTTTTTTACTCCAGTTGGATGAGGTTAGCACTTTCCCTCCAAAGCTGAGGCTGGAAGCCACCATACGACGAGAGGAGGGATGGAAAGAGTCTGACGTTCTTAGGAAAACTTTCTCCTCCTCTCCACTTTAAATTTAATTTGGCTTGTGACTAATAAGTTAATGAACTGTTAATAGATTCTTTATTTGTGGCTTTTTTTCTTCGTCATTTACTACCATGTTTTTACTCAGCGTTGGTTGGTTTCACACAGTCGCTCATATTCTCCCTGTGTGCCCTGCTGGGTAGAATCAGGTCATTTGTGTAATAGGTAGCCGAGTGTTTCTCCAAGCGGTCGACCTCTGACCTGTTTCTGGGTGTGACTCCTGTTTGAGTGGTGAGAGGCGATGCATGCTGACTGTGAGGGGAACTGCTCCACCGCTGACTCCTTAACCTTTTAACCTCCGTCAATAAGCCTGAAGTAGCATCCCGACTTCTAGGTGTTACATTTTCATTGCTGTTGTCAGCTGCTGATTTAAAAAAAAAAAAAAAAAAAGTATTTAATTGGGGAACACTAACTTCAGCAGCTGGCTAGAAATTAGCAAGCAGTTATTTGCATTTTATTCCAGAGAGGTTTATCTATAGATGTGCATGAATTAGTTGCTTACTCAGCTAATTCTGTTGGAGTCAGGTCTATAAAGTTATTGAAAACATACAGACTCACCAGCTGGAATAGTAAATGAACTGTTATTGTCAGTTTCACATTGATATCACAGTTTGAAAATATCAAAAAGGCTGCAGTTGTTAATACATCTCATCAAATGTCAACAGCTGATGCCACCCTTCTTGTGTGACAAACTGCTGATTGTATCTCACGCCGTAACGCTCCATCACACGTTTTAAATCATTTACAAACTGAATAATCAACTGAAGCTTGACTTTAAAAACAATTATCACAAATCAAATTGGTAGTATCTGTCAGAAAAATCCATTTCACACACATTGTTCAGCCTCTCTGAACAGCTGTAGCTCAATGAAGAGGCAAAAGCACGCTGTGAATCTTCCTCGTGGTAAAAACAACAGAAACACAAATCACAGATGTTTGTGTGCTTTTGTGCGTGTTTGTGGTATCCACCCGAGTACGTTGTGTTGTCCTACTGTTTATTGTAGTTGCAGTCGGCTGCATCTGTGAGAGAATTTCTGCTGCTTGTGCAAAATTCTGACATGATTCATTCAAGAACGTCTGTGAGCTAACAATGGTGTCGCTGTTCTAGTGGATATTAATCTGGAAAACCACCTTATGTGAATGTGGAAGCAAACTTATTTTATAGATTAGGGGTTGGCCGATTATTGGCCTCGCTGATCAGCAGATCCAATATTAATTTTTTTATATTATTCGTATTATTAATAATGTAATGAACAGAGGTTTATTGCCAGTGTTTGTATTGGAGTTTGTGTTTTGTTTTTTTTTGCCCGTGTTATGGATTTCTAGACATGTATTATTTTTTGACCTAGAACTGGTTGGGAGAGCGCTGGGCTTTGACATTCTGTTGGCTTTCAATTAGTGTGAAAACATGGAGGTAGGAAGTGCGAACTTTAGATGACTGGACGTTTGTGTTCTACCTGCCACTCACTGACGAGTCAAACACAAGCCCATCTCACACAAAGAAGCCCTGTGACAGTTGTGTTCGCTTCACTCCCTGATGTGAAAAACACAGTTTACAGTGGATTGTTGAGCTCTGAACAGGCTCATCATCGAGACTGCATGTTGTGTTCAAGGAGAGTTACAGTAAACACTGCCAGTAAATATTTTGGGAAAATCAGATCCAAGAGGAGCTTGTCCTATTTTCAGACATTTCTGAAGAAAAAATGCTTACAGCTCTGGTTTTCTGCAAGAAAAATGCTGCTTTAATAAATCAAATTCATCTTGTGAATGAGAAGCTTCCTTCAGCTTAGTGAGTGAATGTTAGTATTTTAGATTTTGCGAAGTTTGGCACATTGATTTAAATGATTTTAATTTTTTTTAATTCCATAAAATAGATTGTTTTCAACTGATTGTTGAAGGCATAATAACTAGAGATGTCTTTGTGGGGCAACATGTTGGCTACAGATCAACTGCAACAATTAATTTTTGAGCACTGAATGAATATTAACGTTTCAAATATTTTGTAAATACTTTGCCACATAAATTTAAGGGATTTTACTATTTTTTTGTCACATAAGATGCACTGATTTCCACTCATTATTCTAAATAATGTAACTTTTGAATGCAATTTGAAGATCTGCTGAAAAACTGATGTGAGTTATGTCGTCATTTTGACTGGTGTAGTCATGGGTATTCGTTCCAGTTTAGTCTGTGATGACCACTGATGATTACTCAGGGCTTTTTATGGTTTTAGTGTAGCTTGTGAAGGTTCTTCTAAACTGCCAAACAAATGTCAAAAACGTGACGGGGACATTTTACTGTAGTTGTTTAAAAGTTCACAGTGCACCGCTGCTTATGTAAACTTCCTCAAAAAAATATTCGTCAGGGTTTCTGTGTTACATCTTAATGTTTTCCAGCCATTTGGAAGTAAATGAGTTTTAATCATGGAACAATTCCTGTTCCTCGATGGACCAAAGCTTGCCTCATTCAGAGGAATGGAGCATTGCGTCATCCTTGGAGCAGAGTGTAGTAACTCCCCGGCTCCCCTCACACACCTCGCTCCCTCATTCTCCATTAATTTCCTCCCTCTCAGACTCATTTTTACCTCCATCTTCCTCCACCTACGCTCTCTTTCAGCTCTGTGTCACTCTGAGTTTTGGGAGAAGTCTCGTCTTATTCCCTCATGCCAGCTATTCACATTAGCTGACGTGGATCTGAAGGTCTTTCCTCAAAAAAAAAAAAAGAAAAAAAGGAAATTGGCTGTAATAAGTCAGACTGTGGATGGTTGAGTAAGCTGATAATATTACCACATACAGTATAACGTACAAGTATTATTCACCGGGACTCACATAGGCTACATGATATGGGATAAAACTGACATTGCAATATTTTCTTGTGTGTGATATTGTGATATGAGGGAATACATACATTTTCACCGCATGACTTGAAAGCTTATTTTCAGAATCACTGAATGAATCCTTCTAGAATGATTGGAGTGTAGGGGAGTGCATCTGCATAGAAAATAAAAAATAATTTAAAAGAAGCTGTGTGGAACCTTTTTCACTGGCAAAGGCATCCAAAATATATTTTTTTTTTGCGTTGGATGGCATTCGGATCTGGCTTTACCCTCGTCATACAGAGCTTTGTGGTGCCGATATAAATGGTCCGGTCCTTTTCAACAAACTCAGTGTCTTGTAAATAACGTAAACGGTGTCAGTGCTGAAATGATATATAGTGCAGCCCAGGACACACTCGTTCTGCTGATGTTCCTGCGTGTAGAAAGTCGCAGGATTGTGTGCGTGAATGTGTGTAATACTATCAATTCCGTGCTGAGAGAAGGCTCAATCCCGAATTACTTAATCCCTCAGTCCTGGTCATCTCTCATGGGATGAAATGAATGCGAACCTTGCCCGGTCAGAGCTGCAGCTGTCCACTCGGCAGGGCAGAGAGAGTTGTTTATCACCACTAAGTAGACTGTGACATTGGAATATTTTGGGAAATAAAGGCGAGCAGATGTGTTTTCTATTTTCACCTGATATGTCTGATTGTGAGTCAAGATCTGTTAAGAACTGTGCTCACATTCACACAAACACGTCTCACTATGAGGAAGTGAAGCTGTCCTGTGTCCTGTCTCTATTTGCGTGGCTGTCCAAACCTGTCGCCCTGACCTGTGGGTATCTATAGCCGTGGTCCAAGATGATAGGAATGGACCCCTGACGGCCTACTGACTCTGACAACAATAGAGCTCCGTGACCTCCAGGTTATGTACAGAGCTGCACAGCAGCCTACAGACCCGGGTGTTTAAAGAAAGAGCAAAATAGAAGGATGACGGTGCAGCAGGCCTGACATCATCGTGGTGTCTTCTATTTTTAACCGTACATGTGTTCACTAATTCATCTGTGCATCTATCAATTACAGTCTCCTCTGCTGCCACCTTGGATATCGTGCAGCAGGGCGGTCTGTTTTCTGAAATCTTAGATTATGTATCCAGTGATGTGGAGTCAGGTCAGTCAGGGTCACACACACAATTAGCTGATGACCTAAAGACAATCATGCACCTGAGAGTCATTTTATGGCATAAGCTTGATTTGTTTAACTAGTTGAAATGTCGAATAGTGTGTTATTGGTTTCTAATCATCAATGTGTTCTATATGCTTCTTCTGTTTCCTGCTACAGGGATAATCAGCCAGTGGCAAGTTGAGCCGAAGGAGCGCGTCATCTCACTCGTCCTCACCCATCTCCCACTGCTCAAACCCGGCAACGTTGAAGCCAAGGGCGAGTACATGCGGCTGCTGCCACGCATCCTGGCCCACACCATCGAGCATGGCCACCACCTGGAGGAGTCCCGCCAGCTCCTGTCCTACGCCCTCATCCACCCCGCCACCTCCCTGGAGGACCGCGCTGCCCTGGCGCTCTGGCTGAACCACCTGGAGGAGAGGGCCGCTGCACGGGGAGACTCCCTGGAAAGGCCTCCTCCTTCCGGACCGCACCACCACCACCATCAGTCCACGCCTCCATCCACCCTCAGCTCATCAGGTTCCTCCTCCTCCACTAACACTTCTTCGTCGGGCAATCCGTACTCCTTGCATCACCACCAGCGCTATGGCTCAGACGACCGCCTCAATGGGTGGCAGAGCTCCAGGGACTCAGGGATGGGTGGAGGCTGGCATCAGCAGCAGCAGGGCTGTGAGAACGGGCACCTTCTGCTCTACCCATCATCCTCTGTGCCGGCAACCATCAACACAGTTGGGACGGGTGGAGGCAGTAACGCCAGTAAGTGAAGTCCTGTCCTGTCGGTTCTGTGTGCCTCATACTGTGTTTCTACATTCAGTTCTTCAGCAGCAGTCTGCACGTAGATAGATTCAAGATGTATAGTTGGAGTTACACAGTGTGGCACCTAATTATGTTAGAAAAACATGTAATACAATTTGGTTCAATTACTGCAACAACTTGCCCCAGGAAGCATTTGATATGTGATTAAAAATACAAATAGCCATAATTACACACATGTAATGTATTAATATGGGCTTTAACCCTCTGACCCCGAGCAGTTTCTGGGTGGTTTTAGCTCCTGACACATTTTTACTCACTTTGAGCTCATATTTCACTGCAATATAAAGTCCTGCCGCTCTATGGAAACAGCACGGGGGGAGGGGGAGAATTCTTGAATTATATATTACACAAAAATGTAAAAAGCCTGGAATTAACATGTACAGCATTTTTCTACTTGCCCACAAGTGCTACCAAGACTGTAACAGAATGGTGACTGTACATGTTGTATGTTCTTCTACATACATTTTCACCGGCTGTACAGACCAGGCGTTTGTTTTGATCCTTGTCTCTTACCTGCTCTGTGTAAACACGGTCTGCAGTTTAGCAAAGTTCAACTTAAAAGTCCCTCAATTTTTGTCACGTTTTCTGTCAAAATATGGTTTTGAACAGGATAAAATAGCCAGTATTTCAAATTAGACTGGCTTGTGTGCTTCTAAATTAAAAAGTGGTCACAACTACTATTTCATCTTAAAACATCTTAGCGATAGTAAAGCCACCTAATCTGTACTAAGGGTCGACTGATGTGGTTATTAATACTAAAAGACACCGAAAAGCAACATGTGGAACAGATTGCGTTTGCAGTAAAAATAAAATTTTTGGTGTCAAAATTTCGAATAAGGCAAACTCCAACACAACACTTTGTTGAAATGCCTCTTTTAATTTGTGTTGTACACATTGAATTAAAAGACAACTTTTCAACCTTTAATGCTAGTAATTGCTGTGGGTGGGATATTGCTTGAGACCATGCAGTAGCATCAGTGTTTTAAATGAATTTACTTGCTCAGAAATCAGTTTAAACAAATACAGATACAATCATCGTATTGGAAATATTGGATTTGACAGCCTACCTAGTCTGACTAGTGGCACAATTTCACACTAAACTTTTAACTCAGATTGCAATTAACTCAAACAAAGCAGCCTTAGCTGTCAGATGGGAGATTTTTCTCTATTGTGATAAAAGCTGTGGGATTTTCTGTTGGTGTAACTGACCGTTATTGAATAACAACAGTGATGATCGACACTAAGCATGAAAACATTTACAGCTGTGTGTATTTAAATGCCATTCAAATGCAGGTTTAATTATAATTTCTTGAAAGACTCTCTTGTGACATAAAGTAACCTCCAAGCGTACAAAAACACACTGAATTCACCCTGAACACAAGCAAATGCTGAAAACATAGAGTCAACCCAGTAAATACACTGTGGTCAGACCAACTGCACTCTGAACAACCCACACAGCAGCTCCACAGGCAGAGACTTAGGTGGAAGACAGCACACAGGGAGGGCAGGGCTGTTGAAATTCAACATAACTATGGTCAGAGCAGGATATTTCCAGACAAGAATGCAAGGGCTCTGTGTTTTTTATTTTTTTGTTTTTTTTTTCCTCGTTCTTTTTTTTTTTTTTCCCTGGGAGATGAAAGAAACAGCTGAGGGTTTATAAATAAAGGCACATTTAAAGCCCTGCTCGCAGCTCCAAGAAAGATCCTCTTGTATTTTTGACTGCTAGCAGCTTCAGTCCCACACAAAAGACCTCAGGATTTCACAACTGATAAACTAGAGTTACCCCAGCCACCGGCGCACGATTGGTGGAGACGGTGAGCGTGGTGGCGCTTTTTTTTAAACTGATGAAAAGTGAGTAGAAGTAAGCTGGAATCGGTGTGTGGGAATTTAGTGCCGGAGGAAGATGGCAAAATATGTTTCATGGAGGCTTTTTGGCATCAAATCTTACAGTTTCCTTTTTTTGTTTTGCTGTTCAAAATGTGTCGTAAATATTCTGATGTCTAAATATCCAGCATTTGCTTCATTCTTATTACTTGGCCAACATGTGTGCGACTCCTTCTCCCTTCACACCGTGTTGATGTGGTGGCGATGATGACTGCAGGAGTATAATTGTCCAAACACATCAACCTGCGAGCTACTGATAGAACATCCCGATGACCCCCCGCCCATCCTCTCAGCCTTAGTCCAAGCCACAGCAGCACATACCACCCATCCTTTCCCTTGTAAGGCAGCCTTTGTGGGAGACTGTATTTAGGGAAAATGGCTAATATTTAGGGACTGGAACTTGAAATGTTAGCTGGGCACCTATTTTAAACGGGGCCCATGAAGTCCTATACATAGCGCCAACAGTAAGAGGACCGCATATAGGAGGAGGAGGAGAGGGACCGGAGTATTGGTGGCAGCTCAGCCCGTCAGAGGGGCGACACAAAAAGCTCTCTGGCTCTCCACCTTTCATTCTGTTTACCCCCTTCAGCCGCCTCGGGGGGGAAAATCTGTGATGCTACAGCTGCTTTTACTGAGAATGAAATGTTGGTGTTTCAGTAAATGGTGTTGATTGCTGAAGGTGTCCATCATAAATTCATCCTGATTGACTTAAATTATTAAGGTGGAGAAAGACAGAGAGAAGGTTTATCATGCTAACTGATTTCTTGACAATTAATGTATTTTATTATGTGTGCAGTTAGTTTATGAATTCATCAGGAGGAGAATTTAAATCTGGACCAAAGCTGTATCCAAAAATCCCTCCTTCATTCGCTCATTAACTGCTATCTATTCAGTGGACACTTAATAATGAGAATAAAATAGTTTGATTGTTGGCAGAATGTTGCATGTAGGTTATAAACACTGGTTTTTCAAATCTTGTTGTGGCATTTGTGAGAGCACTATGCAGTGGATAAATTTACACGCGCAGGATTTAGGCGCTCAAATAAAATGGCCGAGGGTAAATGTAGTGCACTATATAGTAAACAGGGAGTGACTTAGGACACGGCTCAAGGGAATATAAACCAGAGAGCCATGTGTATTTCCTCTCTCGCAAATTTAGCCTCCAGCTCAGTTAACACACAAAGAAACACTGCTTTATAGCTTCACATCGCAGCCAGAGGGTGGACCAGTGTGAAATAAAATATAAGCACAAATAACTGATTATCAGTAACGGAGGAGGGCCAGTCAGTTAACATTTAAATAACACAAACTCCAAAGCAAAACTCTGTTGGAATTTCTTTGCTTATTTTATTTTATTTTTATTTTTTTAAAGTAACAGTATATTGATTTTAAAAAAGAAAAAAGGAACTGTTTAATATTTATCCTTTATTTCAATCTCATTAAGTTCTCACTTATCTTTAGCGTTCACAGGCTGAAACTCATGACGTACAGTCGGTCAGTGCTGTGAGGAGGACGTTGCCATGACCACAGAGTAATTTAATAAGTATAATTAATTTATTCGACGTTGAGTTGGTTAAAAAAACACACAACAATATCCATGTTCGGGGAACTGCTGAATATCGGATCTGATCATCGTCCAGCCCGGTCGACCCCTAATCTGAGCTGCTTTTATGTGTTTCACTGAAGAGATCTAATATTAGCCACGTGTCTAAGAAAATACATATCCATCATAGCTTATATTTCACAACCTCTAAGTGGCATGTGACTTTAGGTGAGTGTAAATGTGCTGCTAAAGCTAAGAAGTCTGCTCCTTTTTTGTCATATTGATCATATCAAAGACAAACCAACAGAGGCACTGAGGGCCATATATGTGTGTTTATGCTCGTTAGCTTGATGTCAAATTAGTCCGTGAATGCTCAGAAGTATCCGGTTGTGGCCGACAAACATGACATGTGTTGCTGAAATGTTTGACAAAATGTTTTTGGCTCACTAAATGTACTTTCCAGTCTGTGCCGTAGTGGACAAGCAGTTCTAGTCATGACTACTGGCCAGTGAAGTGAATAATGTTTGAATTAACACAACTGTGATCTGTGTTGTGGATGAAAGATGAGTCCCATTTGAGGCTGTGTGAGCCAAGCTTCAGTCTTTAGATACTAGCTGTTATTTAGTGTCTGTGTAATCACTTTAATATCGTGTTGCGAAACAGCAGCACAGCTTCATGTGTTAAGTCATCTCAGACGCAGGTGTTTCTGTACGATTTCTCCAGTGAATCCACCTGACTCACCGCGCTTTTGTTTTTCAGTCCTGACCAGTGGAAGTGGCAGCCAGCAGCACAGTCCCCTAAAGCGCTCCGTGTCCCTCACGCCTCCCATGAGCGGCCCCAGCAACCAGCCTCTGGGCCACGTCTGGTTGTCCCAGGAGGACCTGAGGACCGCCAGAGGCCCAGCTCCGGACCACGCACCGCTCTCCCCCCAGAGCAGCATCGCCTCCTCCGGCAGTGGAGGCAGCGAGCACCTGGAGGACGCCGGCTTAGGAGGAGGTTCAGGTCTCCATCGCAGCTCCTTCCACGAGGAGGGCAGTGGTATGAGGGGTGAGTAACAAGGACCACCGGTTCACTCCTCATATGTCCTAAAAAAGACATCTATCAGAGTTTAGAGGCTGAAATACTGGATTGAAATGTGGATATGTTACAGTTTCATTATGATGTGTGGTGGTACATTTACTCAGGTAGTGTACGTAAGTACGATTTTGAGGTAGTTGCGCTTGAGTCGTTCCATTTTATGCTGCTTTCTAAATTTAGAGGGAAATATTGTGCTTTTTATTCCACTACAGCTTTTGTTACTTCTAAAACTGAGATTGGATGCAATAGATACTATTACAAGCTTTAAACATACAACACATTGTTAAAAATTAAACCAGTTTCACAGCTTTTTTTTGGGGCTTCTCACAAAAAGTCGTGTGTAGTTGGTGAGTCTTTAGCCGCTTCACCAAACAGTCATTTCTCCCCTCTAAGCTTCTCACATGATTTACTGTTAATGAATGTGCAAATTATTCAATGTCTCACCAAAAAACATTACATTAGGGAAAAAGTTCAAAAGCTGAAAACGGGTTTTTCATCTTTTCTCCTTTTCTGTCTCATAACTCATGTTTGGAGCTCAGATTTATGTGCTGTCCCTGAATATAAAACTGGATTTAAAGTAGTTTAAACCTGCAGCAGCAACAACGGTAACCTGCTGATCACACACTGATGCTTCAATATCAATAACATAATGATGTCATGTATAATAATATCAGTCAAAAGGCATTAAACCCGGTGTTTTACTTTAATACTTTAACTACATACTTGTGTACTTTTACTGTTAATGCAGGCCTTTTTACCGATAATGTAGTATTTTTACATTACTGTACTGACACTGTTACTTGCTTCTGAACTCTGCTTCCATCACTGTTTGATATAGAGCCACTTCGAAATAGCATTTGGGCTCGTATTCGTCACACTGCAGATATAATTTCACAAAAATTACACAATAGACAAGGGGACGAGTAGGAATGTCCTCCAGGAAATAATTCCAATTATTGGTTTATGTTCTATGAAGTTTTACACTGTGATTTGCTCAAAAACTAACACAGCAGAGTAGAGGATTCAAGTTCTCACATTTTAATAGGAATTAATTACAGCAAATCAGTACAGTTTATTTAAAATCATTACACATTTAACACTGATATCTACCACTGAAATAGTTCCTAAAGGCGGCTTTGCGATACGATGTTCTGGTCAAAGATGGAGGCAGACATCACAGGCCCTTTTTTTTTTTTACTATTGCATTGATTTTGAAACGGAACTACAGATTTTAATTGCCGCAAAGCTTTAATAACACTTTGGGAGGATTCAGGAGGAGCAGGTAGCTAACGTGTCCTGAATGTCGGCCGCCCTGTTAGACCAAAGTGTAGACAAAGACCACTTCTGCAAGGAAACCCATTTGTCGGTCTGCTGTGTGCGCCCTCCAGGCATTAGGCTGCAGAGCTGTTGATCCAGTCAGAGCAGTTTGTCAGGTGAAGCAGAGGCCTGAACTGCTGACCCAAGTGGCCTTACTCTGAGGCGATCACTGTCTGCGGTCAACTTAACCCTTTCATGTCGTCTTTGCTTTTGAAAGGTTTTTTTTAAAAATGCTGTCCAGCTAAAGAAAAGAACAATGCTCGCGGAATATTCTCAAGAGAACAAGCTGTCGTTTGTCTGTTTCACAAGGAGATTTCACAGTTTTCACAATTTTTCAGTCATCTGTTATTTGCAGTAAACTCTCTATGAGATGATGAAACAAGATGCTCGACTTCCATAGTGTTGCACAGACTTAACATTCTAAGATTTATTGTGGGTGTGTTTTCTCACAGGCTTTATTTTAAACTCTTATCTTAGGGTCTATTATTCAGCTAAATTATCATGCTGAAGTCTATATTACTAAACCGGAACGCTGACGTCTGCTTGTGTAATCATGAAACACTTGGGATTGTAAAAAAAAAAAGGAATAACAGAAGAAACATACCATAAATATGAGCATCAAACAGACAGACCTACATTTATAGTGTTTATTTATCGTCTCCTGAGTTCAGCACTTGTTTGCATAAAAACTAAAGCAGCCCCAGGTATCACTCTAAACTGCTGATTAGTACCAAGATGTCTCAGCAACAAGTTCACACTCTCAGCAGTTTGAATGTGAAATCCAGTGAAGCTGATCTTTGCAAAGCACTTAAACATTTCCAGTAAGCAACAAGTTTAAATAGAGGAATCTTTGGTCCTTAGTGGATGCTTATATTTTAGGTTTATGAAACACTTATTGTATTTTTAAAAACATATTACAGCAATAAACATGTTAAACAAATGAATATACATATACAACAATGTGTTTTATGTGCATCTATATTATATAAAGCTGTCTTTATAGAGTGTATTTTATCTATTTCAGACCTTTTGTTTTGCAGATGTCTTTGTTGCTTTTCATGTATTATGTATTTATTCCTGTTCTCTATATGTTTAACAGTATATTTGCGGCGATAAAGAGAAACTATGCAGTTTGTGTGATAATGTGTGTGTTGTCTGTCCTGCAGATGTTCCTGCTTGGCTGAAGAGTCTCCGCCTCCATAAATACGCCGCTCTGTTCTCCACAATGACCTACGACGAGATGATGTCACTGACCGAAGAACAACTTGAGGCACAGGTTCACACAGACACACACAACACAACACAGGTTTATCTTAATCTTAATCTTAATGCGTAAATTCAGAGGTTTACATTTATGTACAAGGCAGTACTCAAGGACAAAAGTTCAGCGTATAGTTCTGGTACATAGAGGACAATGCCAGTACTCTGGACGAGCCCTCTGAAGCCCAAGCAGTTTCAGGGGGTTTTCACCATGACCTCATGTTTTCAATTCAGTTTTATTTATACAGCGCCAATTCACAACATATGTCATCTCACAGCGCTTCACATAGTAAGGTTAAAGAACAGAGAACCCGTTGGATTCCCTGTGAGCAAGCACTCAGCAACGGTCGGAAAGAACCAAAAAACAAAAACCTTTAACTGGGAGGGAAGAAAAACTTCCGACATGTCAGCATAAAGTCCTGCACTTCTATAAAAACGGTACAATTATGATTAGAAGTAGCGAGGACTCAAAAATGTCTCATGTGTTGTGTGACATGGCTGTAACGCCATAAAGCATAAAAGTTTCATTTCTTTGATTGCTCAGTTTTCAGAATTTGAAAACGTTTTTTCTAAGAGCCAACAGCTTTTACTAATACTGGTAAAGAATTATTCATCTACATGATATTTTAATACTTACATTTTTCCAACATCTACGAACTGGATTTTTTATTTTTTTTCACTCTGCACATCAGCTCTAGAAAGACATCTCTTCTGTATACTGCTCTTGAAGCATGCTGCATGTTTTATTTTCTTCTCAAACACAGCCTGCAGTTCAGCCAAAAAGTCCCTAAGTTCTTGTCACGTGACTGTTAGTTGCAACTGAGTCCCTTTTGGCTTCTTAGTTGTACTGAGGAGCACAGATTTTTTTTGTTTTTTTTAGATTTTCTTGCGGTTGGTTTTTTTTTTTTTATTTTTTTTTAATGACGCATGTGGAATGAAGCGATTTAACATGACATTTACTAGTTCTAATCAATATTACCATCGAAAATTAATGTAATGACGTAACTAGTTGGGATAAATGGTAGAAGACAAATTTAGCAGTTGCTGTGCTTGTGTGTAAAGACGTTAAGGAGTCTATTCTGAATCAGAGGATGCAGCTATAATTAACACGGCTACAGCTCACCGGGAAGCTGGATACTTCCTCCAGGTGCTGCTGGCTCCTTCACTGTCTGACCCTAATGTAATGTACAGCTACGCTGAGACCTGCCGAGCAGCACGTGCAACAAAGGATTCAATGTGCTGCTGCTGGCTGGAGCTGTAAAAAAAAATGGATTGTCATCATCGACTCCACATGAGACATAAACCGAAGTTTGATTAGTAGAATCGGTTTTATCTCTTTCTTCCCTCCTAGTCAAAGATGAGCAGCTGAGTTGTTTGTCTCCTTGCTTCAAAGCATCTTCGTCTTTAAAAGAGAGCTCTATTAGATTTGTATACGTACACTGCACATGTCAAAGACAGCATTTTTCTTTTGGGCTGGTATTTTGCAAATGATGTCTGACGCCGAACTGTTTCCTCCAACAGAAAGTCACTAAAGGAGCAAGACACAAGATTGTTATCAGCATTCAGAAGCTCAAAGAGAGGCAGAACCTACTTCGCAGCCTGGAAAAGGTCAGTGATGAAACACCACATCCCCTTCTTCCTTCCTTCATCCTCTTCATCCTCACGCGCACAAGAAACAGGATCATACAGCTTATTTCTTCATTTGTTTGTTTGCATTTTTGTTTCATTTGTTTGTTGGTTGTTGAGAGCTTGTAACCTTAGCAGACTCCACCTCTTCTTCTCTGAGTGTCTGTGTGAGAGAGTGAGAAGGGTGACCATTCTCAGTCGGTGTTATGTATCTGAGATGGCAGCTAGGGGAACACCTAATCCAGGAAGGAGAGTTTTGGGCTCCGTATTTAAACCCATCCGCCTCCCCCCACGCTTCACCCTTCCATTCAGCCTTCGACGCAAGACAATGACGCTCAAGGGCACACCGCAGGAGGGACTTCTTGGGCCAGCTAAATTCAGGCTTAACCTTTTCACCAACGCTTCATTTTAAAATGTGTTACCGCTGCATTTGTGGGGCTTGGGAAACAAGACACCTGTTGCTTGGTATTTTGGGTTTACACAGACTCATGTATGGCGTCGCCCTGCGAAGGCCGGGAGGGAGGCGGATATGATGCATGCGAACACAAATAGTGAAGGAAAACGAGATGTATGTATTTTTGGTATTACTTTATTCTCTGCTGTATCGCGTGGTACCATGACCCCGCCTTTGTTTTTCCTTTTTGGGCTATTCCGTCTCTAATCATTCACTACATTTCTCCAGACTACAAAGCAGGGTCTAAAAATTCAAAATATGCCCATATTTATTTTAATAAATAAATAAATCATGGTTATATTTGGAAAACCATTTTGAAACTTGGATTAGGTTTTCTAGCAATATTTTTGATTTGTGGTGCAGCATGTCATAGCTGCTCAGCCAGTTAATGAAAGGTGAACAAAAAAAAGCTTTTTTCATTTTCGTTAATACGTATTTCATATTAAAAAGTATTCTGTAAGTTTTGTTTTGTATAACTGTGACATGCAACCACCTGCATTATTGTTTTTTTCTTAATCTGTGCTCAAAGACCACTGACATTTTTTCATAGTTCAACTCACCCATTATCAGAGAATATTTGATCTACTTGTTCAATATTGCAGATTCTGAATCAATGATATTATGAGAAAAAACAATGACAGTTTTCAGCTTTTATCTTTACTAGTTCCTGAGACATTGTTGTCTAAACATAGACCCAAATTTCAATGTGCAAAAAACTTTGTTAAAGTAGATCGACAGGCAATTTTCAGAAAGTATTTGATATTTCAAGCCAGTATTTCCCATACATCTTAATAAACGTCTAAATATCATGTCTAATATACAATGATATCTAATATAATATATCATATATACATATCTAAATATGAACTGGCGTCCCATGTACAGGTGCTATAATCCCCGACGTCATGAGTTTGAATCCTGCTCATGGCACTTTTCCGCAGGTCCTTAACCTCATTCTTCTTCCCACTTTCCTGTCTCTCTCTCGACTGCACTATTGAATAAAGACAAAAATCCCACAAAAAAAAATCAACATTTTATGCTGTGAATATTTCTGACCAATCAGAGATGGTTGAGCAGAAATGGTTCGAAACATTTGATGATTTGAGATGGCCTTTTGACCCTTTTTTGTTTGTGCAGCAACACAAAGCAGCTGATCCATCACAGCCAAAACAAATTACGCAGGCGAGACTTTAATAAAACAACCCTAGAGCCTCACAGAAGAGATCTCACCTCAGTGTGCATCATTAGCAAAAACAAAAGTCATGAATCCACAGAAATATGCAAATAATTTAACCCAAAAAACAACTATTGCCTCAGTTTCTTTGAATATTCAGCATGTAGGTCAAAAGTAACATTTTTCTTCTCGAGGAAGATTGTTCACACGCGTAGCCTGAAGCTGCAGTACTTGTTCTTGACATGATAAATGCCATTATTCATCTGTCACTCCAGTGGATTTCTAAATGTCATCGCAGGTTCTGTCAAGTAAGAACCCCTCCGCACCCTCTCTCACTTCACCTCCTTGCTTTCATTCTCTGCTCCCAGGATGTGTTAGGGGGCAGCAATCTGCGCGCCCCGCTGCAGGAGCTCCACCAGATGATCATGACTCCCATCAAGGCTGTCAGCGGCAGCGAGGAGGCCTCCCTGCAGCGCCCCCTGCTGAGCCCCGAGGGCAAGAGCGCCGCGCCCGGCTCCCACCTAACAGGGGGAGGCGGAGGGGAGGCCGAGTCTGGCACGAGCGTCATCGCCGAGGGGGATCTGCCTGGTCAGTTCACTCGTGTCATGGGCAAAGGTGAGCTGCATGCATCGGCACACAGTTGAGAATTGCTGGACAGAGGGAGGATTTTGTTTTAATTTTTCGTCTCTACTGCGTCCTCAGTTTGTACCCAACTACTGGTGTCAAGGTCAGACGAGGACAACATCAGCTCCTACCTACAACTCATCGACAAGTGCCTTATCCATGAGGTACCGCTTCTACCTGTGATGTTTACGTCTGATACTAGTATGAGTGACTGGAAGTTTAAATTTCCAACAAGCAGCATGTCTACCACTATATAGCTCTTTGACAAACACTCAGAACCACAAACAGTTTCTGTCACTTTTTTATTCACTGTGGGCTCAGTTTTCACTACAATATAAAGAGGAACAACCATGCGTAGAAGTAAAGAGTACTCGAGCAACGTCACAACATTTGAAAACCTTTATCCAAGTGTTTCCAATCCTGGGAGCAAGAAATAAAGGCTACACGTGCTACAGATATTTCACTGCTTATAGTTACAGTTTTACAGCCTCTACAAACTGAGCATCCTTCACTCTACTCCGCACATCAACCCTAGAAAGATATTTCACCATTCTGAATGTATTTTCCATCAACTTGCTGGCAACTTGCTTAGTTATGCATAGTTTTTGAGCCATGTTGCACTTGTTTTATTATGTTTTATATTTTCTCTCAGTCTGTCTAATTTGTTCCTGTATTTGTCATTCCTCTGCTCTGTGCAAACACAGCCTGCAGTGCAACTTTTTTTAAATACTTTCTTTTTTTTTACACAAGGTGTAAAAAAAAAATGTTGAGATGTTTAACGACACACTTAGAATTCAGTGATTTTGATGAAATATGATTTTAAACTTAAAATTAGTCATTTTTTCCAATAGAGCAGGACGTCACACATTATTAGTTCAGGGGGAAAAAAATCTGACAATTCTTTCTTTTTTCACAGTTTCTGACCCTAATACATTGTGTAATTTTGACTCTTTTTTTTCCCCCTCTAACAAGATAACATGCCTATTTAACACACTGGTGGGTTAAAGTTTAAATAGCAGTTAACTCATCCTTCTTTTCATGTATTCCTGAACTGTATTTGATTATGTATTTTCACACAATGCAAAAAGGAGAATAAGAAACAAGTGCAGTTATATACTGAACTTTCATAGTATGAAAAGACAAATTATATTATAGATGAATATTACCAGTGCATCTGTTATTTCAGGTTAATATCAGAACTCGGTGTCATATAATACATACAATAAAAGTTTTATGAGAATTCAGCGTTTTAATGATGCAATTTAAAAGTAAGTCTTTTCAGTAGAAATGAAGAGCATCATGGCTGATAGATGATCCGAGTCTCTGTCTGTCTGTGAAACTCTTGAATTAGAGTTAAGTATCAGTACGTTGTAATATAAATGTGAGGTATAATGCTTTAAATCCTCCTCTAATATGAAGGAGAATCTTGGCTGAAGTGGTTCTTTTGTTGTGACACAAAGCACCTGAGAATCTTGAGCAGTCTCCTCCAGCAGTCATGCTTCATTTCATCCCTGATTCGTACTCCCTGTTCTCCCCCCTCCCTCCCCTTGTCAGTCCTTCACCGAGACGCAGAAGAAGAGGCTGTTGTCATGGAAACAGCAGGTCCAGAGGCTGTTCCGGTCCATTCCGAGGAAAACTCTCCTTGACATAGCAGGGTACCGACCGCAGAGGAGGTACGCACTCAGATATGCAGTAATGTTCATTTTCCGGTTGTGCGGTTTGTGATGAAGACAATTAACATCAAAGTTACTTTTAACTTTTACAAAACAACCAGCAAAAATCCAGGTACAGGTTTTAGCTGTAAATAATTGAACAGGTGGGACATGTCAGACACAGCTTCAACAGGATGCATTGTACACAGACAGAGAAAATGTGTCGTTCAAAACACAGCAGCACGTATTCCTTCACATTATATATAATGTTATTTCCTTCTTTTCCATGTGTACAAATGACCAAAGTAGACAAATAAAGAAGCAAGTTGGAGAATAGTTTTTACATAAAACAGTTTCCTACTGTATGTGTTATTTAACAGTGGTGTGGTTTGAGTTGTCACTACTGTTCAGGAGTAAGGATACAATTCTAACTAGCTCCCTAAATAAATGAAGAAGGGTTTCTTTCTTTATTTATTAATAAAATGAGTTCAAAACAGTTCTCGTCCTCCTCCCAGCACGACAGCTTCATCAATCTGGAGGAAAATAAGCATTTCTTCTTGGCCTTCTTCGGTTTTAATCGAATGCACAACTGCTGTTTTTACCATCCCACCACTTACGTTCAGGAATCAAACCAACTCCCGTCTGTATCTAACTTTTCTGTCTCTGTCTCATCCTGCTGCAGCCGTTTTGGCCAGTCCAACTCTCTCCCTACCACTGGCTGTGTTGGGGGCAGCGTGTCGGCCAGGAGGAGCCTTCACCAGTTCCAGATGCCCTCCAGGAGCTTGCCGGGTGCCAGGCTGGGCCTGCTGGGCAGCGGGGGGCTGCTGGGACCGACACCTCGCAGCTCCAGCAGCACACCCACCGGTCCCAAGCAGGGGAGACATGTGAGTCGAACCGGCTTAATGTTTAAAGAGACGAGAGTAAACCAGCAGGAGAACAGGGAGCTGGATCAGAGAGTAAACAAGAGAGACATTAGAGCATAAACAGCGAGGTGTCCACTAAAGCTTCACCGTTACTCCTCAGTGTAAGCAGCTTTTCCATTTTCACAGAGGGTTTTGTTCATTAAATATTAGTTGTTATTGATTGTCTTCATTGTGAGTTATTCTGTCAATGAAATGGATGTTGGCTGATCAAGAATCCTACAAAACAGCCCGTCTTAATCTTTCCACTGCTTAACCTTCTTCACTCCAAGCAGTTTCTGAGCATATTTAGCTCATTTTCCCTGTGATATAAAGTCCTGCACCTCTTTGAAAGCAGTATAACTTTGGGCACAAGTAGAGAGAATTTAATAATGTCTTTTGTGCACTAAAGAAAAGTTATAATGCCATAAAAAAGAAAGAAAGTCCTTCATTTGTCTTACAGAAATTGAAAAGGTGTTATCAGTATTGGGAAAAGAATGAGGGGTCCCCATGCGGTTGATACACTTCCTCACTGGGCCTATTTTCATTTTTACAACCTCTTCAGAAGTTTAGGAGTTTTTCACTTGAATGCACACCAACTCTGCAATGCTGAATCTATCTTCCAACAACCTCCTGACAGTTTGCTCCTCCACTGTTTTGTAAACCAATCACAGCCCAAAAGTCCATAAAGTTTTGTCTTTAAATGAGACGTGTAGAATAAAGTGATGTGGATGAAATATCACAATATTTAACCTTAGATTTGGTTATTTGTACCCACAGAACAGCACAGTCACACATGATTAGTTCAGCGTTTTGGAACCCTGAAAATCTAGTGTTTCTGGTTATGATAAATGCTGAATGTAGCTTCCAATAAGTTGCTTGTCTTTATGCTGAGCCTACTGTTTATTTTATTGATCCGACATGTTTAATTTTGCTTACATTTCCTCAGTTTGTTTCCATAGCAGTCTCCTCTTTGCTTTGGGTAAACACAGCCTGAAAAACTTTAGTTGCATGAATGGTGGTCACTCAGTCGTGGCACTTACGCTGCTGAGTAGTGCAGAATTTAGTTGTTTTATGAGATTGATTCAGTGGAAACAGTAGATAAAAGTGGTTTTGATAATGTATTACCATTTTAAGATGATTTTTAGGGTTATTTTTCCTGACAGAACCACATGTCGTACATGCTGTGTCCACAGACGTTTGCGAGGTTGAAAATCTGATGATGCTCTCTGTGTCTTGCTCTGATAAATGGTGTCATTTTGGAGTTTTTTGTTTGTTAGTTACTAAAGAAAACCAGCACAAAGTGGTCATCTTGAGGAGGTTTCTATAAGACTTCATCATCATTTTGGTATGTAGTGTGTTACCACTAGTCTTCTGTCAGTTGAGGTGGTCAGAGAGGAAAGGTGAGGATGGATAGTTTAAAATCTTTTTGAAAACCTTGTGAATTTAAAAGGTCCACAGAATGTGTAAAAACCTGGAGTTACCTCTATTATCATGTGCGTCTGCAGTGATTGTGAGGCTGAATGGCTGAGGTGTTCCTGACTGTATAAAGGAACATTTTGAAATGTGTAATAGTACATTCCAGGATGTTTACAGTAACCTGGGCAGCAGAATTCCTTCTTCAGCACGTATTCTGCCTGAAATAGGCTTTATTCCACGACAAAGAAATGCTGGGTGAGGAAGAGGAGCAGCGGCGGCGGCGGCGTCTGGCGAATGAAGTGAGGTGGATGGAACTCGTAGGCAGGTCACCCCACATACCAGAGGCTCTGCGTCAGGGCCGAACATTGAAACAGGAGGAGCTGCAGAGCTGTTTCAGGCCCATCCTGGCACACTTTGGTCTGGGCTGACCCACTTCACTGGAAACCTTTCTGTCCCTCCCACTGTTTCCCTCCCTCTCTCTCATCCCTTACAATGGGAGGAAATACCTCAGTTCCTCCTCGTCACACTGGACCTTCTTGTGCAGGACTGAAGTGTGGATGTGCTCAGAGAGAGAAGGAGGGCGGGAGGGAAATATGTGAGTCATAGTTTGGGAGAGGTAGCTGTGGTGTTGGAGGAGGAGGGGCAATAAGAGAGAGAGAGTTTATATGAGTACATATATGAGAGAGAGAGAGAGCCAGTCAGAGGCAGTGAGAACAGTGCACAGGCATTTCCTGTTTTTCCCTGGCCCGAGGCACTGGAGGGCCGCGAGGGGGGAGAGGGGTGAGGGATGGAGGTGAGGGGAGGGGCCTGTGGTGGTAGTGTTGGGGGTATAATGGGCAGGTTACAGCGAGGAATTCATGTGGTGAGCGTCTTGAGACTGTCATTAGGTGTGGGCCAGACATCCAGACAGGAGCGTGGGGGATAAAAACGAGGAAGAAGCCGTGGTCTCACACGACTTCATTTAACGCCGCTCAATTCATGTATGGTTCTGATCAGTGAAAGTTGTAGCAACACGTGATCAGTGAAATGATGTAAGGAGTGAGTAGTGTGTGGGATCCTGAAGAGCTTGAGTTTGTGCATTAAATTGTATTGGAGAAACAGGAGTTTAACTTTTATATGTCACTAGTAAATAGTGAAGAGTGGAGATATCCTGACACGATCTCAACACAGGTGTCATAAAGGGAGAGCCCAGTTTGTGGCAGGACGTCAGGGATGCAAATATTAAATGATTACTTTAAAATCTGTGGCATTATCACTCAATAATTAATAGCATAGATTTATCACAGTAGACACGTGTCATGATCAGTGGACATGTTTTTGGTCACAAAGGTGACACTGTTACATATGCTACAGGGATATAGGAGCACTATCACGAGCTCTGGTCAGAGGTCATTAAGTGTCACAGAAGTCTTTCTCATGGTGCCCGTTGGTAGCTAAACCTGCACAATGCTCTCTTCTCATCAACACGGAACTGCCCATATTCAGAGTGATGCCTCCTCTAGATGTGTTAAACAGTAAGAAGCCCCACCTGGTGGAACAACCAGGTAGTGCAGCTGATTTACAATACTTTTTCTATCACACATGTAGAGATTACAGTTTTTTTTTTTCTTTTGGAGGTTGTGGAGCCAAGTTGCACTCCATCATCTCCACATGCATTTCAGGTAGTGTCCAACTGGAGCTTTACAACAAGGTTCATGACCAGCGATGTAACAGCCGGTACAGCTTGGATGCAGAAACGCAACTATTTAGTTATTCAGTTTTCAAGCATTTGCACTACATTGTTTAAATTACTTAAATGTACCTGAAGTGCATCACCAATGGGTTTGGATTGGAATGACATGCTATTGACTGGTACGAAATGTTAAATGATTTAGATTGGATCAGGCAAAAAAAAACAAAAAAACTTGAAGAGGACCTATTAGCCAGGTTATCCACGGGTTATGAAACCTGGTCAATTAGTGTTGTTAGCTTCCAGTAACAAAAGCTGCAGAAAAATGATGAAATCTAAGTGGGTCATTTGCTCCAAATTATGTTGTGTTTTGCTATCCTTGGACCGTGATGAAAAAACAGCAGGGAAAAAAAAGCAGAGCATTTGAAGGGAATGTTAGCTTTCAAAAAAATCGCCAAAATTACACCATTTATCACAGCTAGAAACTGTAGAAACAGAAGTAATTGTTGGATTTTCATTTTTGTATGGGTCTGTAAATGAAAAAGGCTCATGAAGGTTTTCTATATCGAAGAACTTCGTGTCAGTCAGGGTCTCGACTTTGGATTTTTTTTATCACCAAGTCGGCATGTGTTGGCCAATACCAGCTGTTGTTTGCTTAGTGTTTTTATCCTTTACGGATTCTATTGTAGTCTGTAAATGTTGACTCACCTGTGTTGCTCCACCTCATTGACAATCTTAAAGTTTCACAACACTGTTCTGGTCTCCGAAACCGAAGAATCAACTATTCCAGAATACCGTCTTGTTTCGACACACGTGCTGCCGGTGTAGAAACGAAAGAAATACATTCACATTTGCTCTGCTCATGATTCAATGAATGAATACAATTTTCTGACACCTTCTGATACCCTAAAAATGCTGCCACGACCAGTGTTGCCAAAGCACAATTTCTGTGTTCATTTAATTTAGTTTCTGTCGTCTGAGAGAAGAATCTGAAGTTTAATAGTTGTAGTCTTTAAGTTTTAGTCTCACTTGTCTCTGACAAAGACGACCCAAAAGCTTCCATGCAGTCTGACAGACGGATGGGACTACAGCGGTAGATGAACAGTTGGTGATTGTTGTGATTTCTGCTGTTGGACAATAAGTGATTTTTAAAGAGGTGTTTCTCCCGAAGTTGATTTAAAATATTCTCCTCAGGGTCCGTGGTTCGCCAACCCCGGAGGAAGCAACAGCATGCCCAGTCGGACCCACAGCTCCGTGCAGAGGACCCGCTCGCTGCCGGTTCACACCACGCCACAGACCATGGTCATGTTCCAGCAAAGCGGTAAGAGACGCTGGGAAACGCACACAAACGGACACACAAACCACTCAGATGATGTAGTTGATACCTACAACTGTTAACTGCTGTGGTACAATCCGTAAAGTTTCCCTTCAGGTTCAGATAAACTGATGTTGCATGAAGCACTTCTCAGAATTTATCCTGGAAACTTTTCTTCTACATTCAGTAACCGAGCAGCACTGTTGTTTCTTTGGATATAAAATTGTGTAACGTGCACATCACAGGCTAAATTGTGAGCACATTTCTCAGTTGTAACACTGCTGACCAAGTTTTGGGGGTTTTTCTTGGGCAAATACAATGAAGTGAAAACATGGCACATCTAGAATATATTGTAGGGCTACATGTGCTGAACAGTTGAGCAAGAAAAATAAAAAAGTATACGTGTTGCATATGTTAGTGGACCATCAGATCACTTTGAGCACAGACAGAGCAGAAAGTCTGCGCTGTTTGCATTGACAAAACCTTCCTGTGATATTTGCCGATAGCAAGCGTTAACGACCCAACAGAGATGGAGTGAATAAAGCAGAAACTGTTCACTTCACTCCCACAGCTTCATGTCTCGTAGCCACAGATAATGTCTCATCAAGAAACACAAACAGAGCTCAGATCAGTGTACGGTGTCTTTTTCAGTCCGCCGGGCTCGTAAATGCCATCGTTAGTCAGTACATGACAGTAAACCATCCCTCTAAGTTACTTTAGAACAGAAAACATAGTAATAATTGATCTCCGCTCTCCAGCCCTGATTGTGTATATCCACTGCACACACATAATAGTTAGAGCAAATTTGAAATGAAGAAAGGCACAAATGCAAAGTTTGAGCTTTATATTTTAGGAACTGATATAGGTACTTTCATATTAAGATTTTTGTCTTTTTCTTTTAAAGAATTCTGCCAAAATTTGCATTGACATTTTTTCTTACTGCACTGTTTTCTTGTAAAGGAGTGTCCTCGGCAGATATTTGCTAGAAAACACACTTGTTGTTGTTTTATAGTCAGTCAGTTTAGTCATTCAGATGCTGTGACATGTTTGGGCTGAATGCTGACCCATTTGGATGACCAGATAAAATATACATGGTGTTAACGATGAACAAGTGATTAAAATATTATTAAAATTGCAAGAGTGACAATATTTTAATGAAGGTAAAACATGTCACAGCAGATCTTTATCAATGAAGCACATAGCAAAAGTCTCATCATTTTTTATATATATTTTTTTTCAGGTCAAAAGAAATGTGATAATTACAGATTCCACTGAGATGTCAAAATAATAAAAATAGAATTTTTTTCTTTTGCATGTTGTTTAGTCTTTTTAGGTAGTGCTTTCTCCACCGGAAATGCAAATATACATTATGTATAATGCAAACTGTTTACGTAGTCCTTGTCTTGTTTCAGCTTCATGCTTTATTTGGTTCACAGTGTCAAACACAACAGCAAAACTAAACTTAATTTTGAAGTCAAAATAGCAGCCTGTCACTGTTTCTTATGAATGTTGGCCTTTATACAATAGTAGATGGCACCTCAAATACAAAATAACTAAAAATACTCTTAAATGTTAAACTATTACACAGCTATCGGAGCATTCAGACCTAAACCCGGTGTACAGTAGCCGTCAGTGCCAGGCAGTCTGACCTGTAGTAACCTCTGCTGACTGGACTTGGTCCCACAGGAACAGTGGACAGTAATAGGACAAGCTGGGACTTCCTCTGCTCGGCCAGAAATGTCCTCTTTTTAGAATGAAGTGGGAAAAACAGATTTGAAGAAAAAAAAAAAAAAGAGCAGGAGGGAAGTTAGGTGGAGGGAGAGTAGAGACTGTGAGAGAGGAAGAGATGGAGGCTGGGAGGGAGGAAAGAGTCAGAGGAGTCTCACAATGAGGCTCTTTGTGCAGCGAGGACGGGGCTCCCTGGCCCACTTTCCTCCCCTCTCTACTCCACTCACTTTCTTTCTTAGCTTTCCCATCTCTCTTTCTCCCCCCCATCCCTCCATCTCTACTCACCCTCCCCCCATGCCTCCCTGTTTGACAACTGCAGAGTCATGCACACATAACAGTCACCCTCGAGGGTGGCTATAGCTGGGACTCGGCCAGGGCAACTGATTCGAAAGGCCAGACATCCTCCACCCCTCTAACCCCTCTCTGTCTCTGTGGATATACGTACGATCTAACGTCCTCCCTGCCAACAGATTGGATAAAGAGCCTCATTAAGTGAGACACAGTAGAGAAAATGAGAGGATGAAGCAACAAGTGTTTGTGTTGCTCTGTGTGTGTGTGTGTGTGTGCGGGAGGTGGAGGTTTGTGTGGTCGGGGAGGTGGTGGTGGGGATTTGGAGCCTATAAATAGCCCGGTGTGGACTACCGGGCCTAACTCAGCTGGTCTCCGTGGCCACACGGGATTTTCACTGCCCAGCCCGTGTCGAAGACTCAGCAAAGGACTAAATGGCTGGAAGGGGTTGCTAGGCTGCACTGTGGCCCAAATACTCACCCCACCTTCACCCCTCAGCACACAGACTCCCCCCTCCAGCCTCGACAAAACAGTCTCCACCCTGCTCTTAGTTCAGGCCAAGAGAGCCGGCACCTGAGAGTTTAAAAAAGGAGACAGGGCAGTTTATGTGACAAGTGTCCATTAATAATGATAGTGTAATTAACACGTTAATTTCGATTCATTAATTACAGAAAAAAATAACGTGTTAAAAAATAAAAATAGCACATTTAATCACACCTTTCTCAGTTCCCTCATTTGTGGCACACCGATGCACACACTTCAGCCTGGTAGGCGGCGCTAATGTGCCTAAAGTT